TACGACGACGGACGGCCGGACCATCACTTCTACCAGGCTGTCGATGAGAGAACAGTTCCAGCTTTGTGCAGAGTAGGGCTTACCAAGGCGTTGTTCTATCGGTAGTGTCAAGTTCGGCTCGTACTGAAGCTTGCGGTGATCACTCTGCGAAGGACGTCGATACTGAAGTTATGAGCATATTCTAGGACTTGGTCGGACGGGGAAAAATAATGCAAGTCCTGAAATTGGCAGACAGCGCTCCAGCCTTGTCTCGGTCAGATTTGCGACTTTGCACGATATCTTGCATAGTGGTTAATATTGTGTGTATTGTACGCGAGCATCTCCAACAGGCTAGGTGGGTCCCTAGAAGCATGGTGGCATTTTGCTTTTTTGTTCATTTTCCCCGTTGGCTACAGGACATCAACCTAACAACAACACTCTTAGTGCCAAATACCTTCTGATTGTTGTCGTGGCTGCTATCTTTGACGACCTGTTGAGTAGCAGCATCCTTCCACTTTCTTTTTATTCTTTTTTGTTTTGCTCTTCTTCCTCTCCCCCTTCCTTTCTTGTGCATCAAGCAATATAACTACCACGTCGGACATCCCGGCAAACATGACGAAAAGAAACAAACTAGACACGTTTATCGGCATAATACACCACACCGACCCCGTCATGTCGAAGGATTCCATCTGTCCGCGGCGCAAGACGCAGGCAAGATCTCATGTCAAATTCAACGTCAAAAGTATTGAGGATGGTTCACTTTACGCCACTTTGATAAAAAAAACTCGGGGCTTCGCCTCTTCGTCAAACCCATTGAATGTATCGAGCAGCAGTTAGACAGGCAGGGGTCATTGTGTGTATATTGATGAGTATATCGAACGAATGGCTATGGGAAGAAACCCCATATCTATATAATGAGTGTATGACCCCCTTGTATAAGGTTACCCTTGCTAGCCTTATTCATACTTCTGGTTAAGCATGAGTCAGGTCGCTCGAGGCGAAACAAGTACCGTAACGAATGTCCTGGGGCAGTCTGACAGAATGGATCAGTCTTCACCTTACACTTCTCGACATGGAGTTCCACAATCTTCCTCCAATTACTCAGCCTGTACCGACGGTCGGCTCATCGAAAGCTACGATAGATCTATCTGCTTCGGCACAGGCTCTGCTTGATGCCCTCAACACCCTTTTGGAAGCCAAATCAACAGAATGCCGGACACGCTCAATTCTCACCGTCATTTCGATGCTGTACCCTCAGCATATGTCATTTCTAGAGATTTCTGAACTTCATTAATACTTTGGCGGTCGAGCCTATTGCATTGATTGTCCCGTACAGGCAGCCTGGGATGTAACGCCAGCGCGCTCCAGCTACACGACTGCTAACGGATCGATGTCCATGCGAGCTGAAGAATCTGTCGAGGGTCCAATAATGAATGGCATTGATGGACATAACGTAAGAAAACAGCCTGTACTTGTCTACCTCGACCTCAAGACAATCGCCGTTACACGGCGTGCTAGATATAAGCCGCCCCGGAATAACCCGCCAGTGCGGAGGCTTAAGAAGTTATCGTACAGAAAGGTCACTCCTCCAAATATGGTGGAAGATCCGTTCCTTGCCGCCGTCGTTCTGGCGTTAGCACAACGGGACTTTGCAAGGCGGTTCCTCCATCAGCTGACAAGCCGTTGATGTCTTCATCCGAATCGTCATCTCTCGGAGAGCCTATATTTCAAGATACAACGATGTGCATTCTGGCTGTCAATGACAAGGAACCCTCTGCTCCTTGCTTCATCTTGTATAGAGGAAAAGTCAGGAAAGAGCTCTTGCAAAAGTTCCATGATCCGACCAAGAACTATCGAGTAAAAGAAGAAGAGACTTTAGTTGGAACACTGAAAGGCAGCACAAACAGGCAAATCAAGTACACCGAGGTACTGATCTGGCTAATACTAGGACTTAAAGAGCGACTAAGCAAAGCTCTTGGCAAAGAAGTCGCAGGCCCCTTCGATGAGAATAATATCGAAATGTGGGAGCAAGACCTGAAGACGAAGACCCAGACCCAGAGCCGAAGATCCGAAACCGGACGCTAGCAATCTCAAGGAAGGAATATCTGGGAGTTTGGCAGACTTCAGAAAGAGCGACAACGAAGACCCGTTAGACATCATGAAGGTCAATCTACCAGACACTTTACTTACAGTGGTTGCACCTACGGACGGGTCTGATGAGACAACTGAAGATGGATCATCACAACTACGCCGTGGCTTACCGCGAGGTACTCGATCACTGACGAATATGAATCTGATGAGTTGTTCCGTTCTTCATCAACACGATGTGGAGAAATTTCGCCAGGTATAATCGGCGGCATGATCGGCTGGCATATTCGGGTGGCATACTTCTTTTTCTTTTCCAAACCGCCACGAGTGTGGTTTTAACTGGCAGGCGAATAGTCCAATGTATCTGGCTTCAGCTACGATTGTGCAGAGATTGCCGAATTGAACGTCACGTCTGTAGATCCTCTGCGCAGGTTGTTGAGTTTTCGTGCACGGCAGTTTCCTGTTAACTGCTCAGGTCTGGTTCTCTGCAGATGTGCTTTTGTGCGCCTTTGCTCCTATACAAGTACACAGGGGGTCATATTTGACTGTTGGCGG